AATCATGAAAGCAACTCTGAACATTACAAATACACATAGAAAAGGGCAAACAATTCAATATTAAAAAAAAAAAACCTCTTTCATTTTCTATTCTAATAAGAATAGATAAAATGTCCTCCAAGTCATAATTTTCTGCAGATAAAACATGGAAGAACAAAGCATCCTTCAAATCACATTTTCTGCAGGCAAACATGGATTAAAATAAGACAGCAAAGAAATCAGCAAACAAATACAAGAAAGTGGGGAGGAGGAGGAAATTGCCTCTGAACAATTAACCTCTGCTGCTACAATTCCACTTGGCTTGATGTTCCACTTTCATTACCCACATGAACATGGCAGGAAAAAGGAGACAAAGGAAGGGGGGAAACAGGAACAAGCAATGCTGATCGTGCCTTAAAATTCTGAAACTCGCTGTGGGCGTGTTAACCAATAGGAATGTGGTATATACATGACAGAAAATACGACAGTGAAGAATAAGAAAAGAGCAGTGATTGGTTAACTTGCTTCTGACATCACATCCCTGCAGGGAAGGATGACAAAAACCCTACCCAGCAATTACATGTTCCCCTGCCCTGAGAAGGGAGGATTGAAAAGGAAGGGGGAAGGGAAAAATAAGTCTCCCATGCCTTGGGATGGATATAGTTATGTAACTCTGTGATCCACACCTGGTTCTCGGTTTACAAAGGTTTGTTTCACTGCTGCTCTTTGCATTTTTCTGTGGCACTCTTTTTGACTAAGAAGCATTTCATTTTGTATTTGCATCTTGCAAGAGAATGCCTTCCTTTGTCATTCAAAGACAAACTGAGTCAAAGTTTTATTAAGAACAGATTTTGTTAAATTAGATCATGAATGTTCATTGATACAAGAACTCAGCTTTAGAAAAATAATGGCTGTTACTTTAACTCAAAATTTCATTCAATTTAACATGTATTTTTTGGCCAGGTAGTGGAGCCAACTCCTCCCAGCTCATGTACTATTATTCACGTAACAAGCAGCTGTAGAAAACTCATATTCTTAACTTTATGTCTTGCAAACAGTACCAGTAAGCAGAAGATCAGATAGATGTTAGGAGTAAAGGTTTAAGGCACAGAAGAATGAGGAGTAAAGAACATCCTCTTCAAACCAAGTTTAAAAATAGACCTATTAGCACCTGACTCTGATGCTTTTGGTTCTTTCACCCCTCCCACCCATTACACAACTACCCAACTGTGTGAGAATCCAATTAGCAAAGTAAGTTTTGATAAATATGATTAAAAATGACAAATGATTATCACTGTTCCTTATCGTACTACAATAGCTCTACTCAACAAGCCGTTTTTGGTGTATACTGCAGATTAAACATAATACCGCCATTGTAACTGACGACAAGTTCCATGGAAACTGTTACAGCCTATTTGAATGCAGAACATCCAGAAGCTAACTGTGAAAATACACACACGTACAGCCAAAATACAGTTACTTGATTATGGTCTTTTTTAGGTTATTTACACAGTGAGATATCTAGATTAACTTTTTTTATTATTTCAGTCTCATTCTTACAATATCTCCATGCCAAAGGGACACCCATTCAGAAGTCTGAACACTATAAACATACTTGAAAACTTAAAACCTATAGGAAATACAAACCAAACCCCTGACCAAAGCAGCAGTGGTCCTTTCTTGCCTTCTACCATAAGCGATTTTGCCGTATAACTCATGTAGTTACCATATTTACCCCCATCCTCCCCATGTTCTGCTTGGACATGCACAGAAGGTTGTTTCAGACCCTGGAGGGGAGCTGGGAGGATAATTCAAGGAAAGGGTCCTTATGGAAAACGTCCTGCCACTGATTCCCCCTCTCCCCTTTACAATACAGAGATAAATTTCAGGACATTCTGTCGATTCCAAATGGGGTGCTAAGAACAGGAAAGGCGTTTTGTGGTGCAAGCAGGTCTAAGCAGGGTAGGTCATGTCAGCAAAAACACCATGAACTCTACACAAAAACAAGACACAAACAGAAAACACCGTGGAAAACTGGTAATGTACTGCTGCCAAGAAGCACTCCTGTAGCAAGTAGTCTGCCACATCTGAGGCCACGGTAAAGTTTTGGCCAGCTTTAATGCACAGGCGTAGAACATTCTGCAGTAATCTAATCTCAAGGTGACAAAGGTAAAGATCCTGGTAGCAAGGTCCAAAGGGAACAGCCACAGGCAGCTGACAATAAAGCACAGCTGCAATACTGCCCAACACGGCTCCAGCACTGCCCAACACGCAGCAGGCACACACCCACCACCAGAGGGGGATGCAACATGGCCCTCAGGGCTGACTCTCAATGAGTAATAACCTCACAGAAGTCTCGACACAAATCTGTACACTCTGGCTGCCACCACCCAAGCACAGTCAGGAAGCGTTAGACGCAGGAGGAAACTCAAGGGAAACTGGCTGGGTGCATTTTAATATCAGAGACAGAAGCATCCTGCCCCTCCCTCGCAGCCTGGCACATTGCGTCGCCATTCCCTCCAGAAGAATCCATGTCCCCACACCTGGAAAAAGACTGCTTACAACCTTTGCTGCACCTGCTTCCTTCCTGGGCCTCATGAAGGGCACGGGGCCTTCCAGCAATACTTGTGGCCTGACCCCACCAGGCAGGGCTGCCTCCTAACCCTGGCGCCCCCAGATGCTTGTGGCTCAGCTCTGCCAGGCAGGAGTGCTCACCAACCCTGGCACCCACAGAAACATCAGGAGGCATTACTTCAAGGTTAGGGCTGCCAGGCTCCGGAATAGGCTCCCAAGGGAGGTGGTGCTCTCTCCTACCTTGGGAGTCTCCAAGAGAAGGCTAGACAGATACCTGGCTGGGGTGTTAGGACCCCGGCACTCGGTCCTGCCCTGCAGGGCAGAGGGTCGGATCTGATGATCTGTTTGGGTCCCTTCTGACTCCAAGCACTATGATATTATGAAACCACAATGCTTGTGGTGGGCCAGGCAGGGGTGCCCCCTCAACCCTGACAACCACAGAAACCACAACACTTATGTCCCTCCCCTCCCACCAGCCAGGAGTGCCTCCTAATCCTGGCACCCACATACACTTGGGGCCCAGTCCCACCAGGCAGGGGCACGCCGCAACCTTGATGCCCACAGAAACCACAACACTCATGACCCAGCCTCGCCAGGCGGGGGTTGCCTCCTAACTCTGGTGCCCAGAGATGCTTGTGGGCCAGCTCTGCCGGGCAGGGGCACCCCCTAACCCTGACACCCAGAGAAACCACAACGTTCACGGCCAAGCCCCACCAGCCAGGGGTGCCCCCACCCCTAGCACCCACAGAAACCACGCCACTCACAGCCCAGCCGCGCCAGGCAAGGGTGCCCCCACACAGAAACCCTCACCCCCCAGGCGCCACTCCACGTTCCTGCCCCCCGTGTAGAGATGCCAAGGCCGGGACGTGGAAGCAGGAGCAGGCAGCGCTCGCCTGCCACCCCGAGGAGCCGGGCTAGGCGTGGGGGGCCGCCCCGCGAGCAGGAGGAGCCCCCACGGGTGCGGGACGGCGGGGGGTGGGGTTACGGTGCAAACAAAGCCTCGCCCAGCCCGGCCGCTGGAGAAGAAGGAGACACGGGAAACCCCCCTTCCCACCCGGCTTGTCCTTCCCCTTCCCCAGCCCAGGGGGGCCGCACCCCGAGATCAGCCCCCGGCGCGAGGGCGGAGGCGGGAGCGGCCCCGGGCCGGGCACTCACCACTTGGTAGCGGCTGGCGGGCTGGTGATGGTCCATCGCGACGGCCCGGCTACTCCGACGCCGCCGCTCTCCCAAGTCTTCACTCGCCCCGCCCCTCGCGGCTCGGTAGGCTCCACCCCGCCGCCTGCGACCGCTTGAGTCACCCCCGGCGCCGCCCCAGCGCCTGCGGAAGAGCCTGAGCTCCGCCCGGGCAGGCCTGGCTCTGCCCCCCGGCCCCTGCCCCCGGCCCGACGCGCTCCGAGCAGTCGCCGGTGCCCTTCAGCGCGAAGCCCGCCGCAGCAGCGCCCCGGGGTGTCCTGAGGGGTGAGCACAGAAGGGCAGGCTCCGTGAGGGAGACACCTGCTCAGCTCGGCAGGTCGCCAGGGTTTGGGCCTCAAGACATGCCCCATGGGATCGGAGACGCCCCTGCCTGACTTTTGGGGGTTGAGTGGAACCCAATTTCAATATGATCTGATATGATCGATCATGCAAAGGGGGTTGGCAGCAGGGGAGATACCTGGTTATCTCAGTAGATCTCCAATGGTTTGGCTTCAAGACATGCTTCTTTGGATTTGAGATGCCCCTTCCTAACTTCGGCGGGTTGAGTGGCACCCAGTTTCAATAACAAATTATATCATACTATATGATGTCAGATGATATGATATGATACGATATATCATGAAGAGGGGTTGGGCAGTGGGGGACATACCTGCTTATTTCAGCAGTTCTCAAGTTTCTTGGCCTGGAGGCACGCCTCTAGACCCGAGGCACCCTCTGTAACTGAGAGTCATAGAAAAAAATCCTAGAAAATGAGGGTTGGAAGGGACCTCAGGAGGTCATTCTAGTCCAACCCCCTGTTCAAATCAGGACCATCCCCAACCGTAGCAATGCATTGGGTTAACCATGCGCTCCCTGAAAGTGCTGGTGCACCCCATCAGGCCGCACTCCCTGTATAGGCCATAGGCAGGAGGGTAGGCAGGAGCACCAGTGCCCCCGCCACAAGCGCCAACCAGGGAGCAGGGCTGCTGGCAAAAGCAGCCATACTGCTTCGAAGTGGCATGGCCACTGTATGGTGAGTGAGACTGAACGCTGGGGGGACCCAGTCAGCCATGCCCAGTCATTGGGATCGGCCATGGGGACCCCTCCCCCCCCAGTCACTGACCAGTGTTTCAAGATGCACCAGTCGCCCATAATCCCCAAGTAGCTCATCCTAGCCAAAGCCTTGTCTAGCCAGGTCTTAACAATCTCCAAGGATGGAGATTCCACCACCTCAGCTTGTCGCCACCTGGTGCATCTGCTCCCCACACTGCCCAACCTCTCTGCCAGGAAGCAAGAGGTTCTCTGCACAGAGTTTTCTGCAGTGGGGTACCTCTCCGTTCACATAAGTGATGGGGTACCCTGAGGCCAGTGAGCCGTGCCTTGAGGCCTAAAAGGTTGAGAACCACTGAGATAAGCACAGGCTTAGGCTGGTCCCTTCCTGGCCCACTCCCCATCCCCACTGCCCAACTCCTCTGGATACCCTACCACATTTTTTTTTAAATTAGGTGCCACTCAATCCATAAAAGTTACGGAGGGTGCCTCAGATCTAACAAGGCATGCCTCCAGGCCAAAAAGTTTGAGAACCACTGAGATAAGCAGGTATCTCCCCCACTGCCCAACCCCTCTGCATGATATGTCATTTCA